CGGCCTGGCACGAAGGCGCTGCCGCCGCCCGCCGCGGCCTGGGGGGGCTCCGGGGCGCCCCGCGCACCTCAGGAACGGCACGTGTGGGGTCGCCCCGCGGCTCTCGCAAGCGAAGGCGCCCTGGCAGGCTCGGGGGCCTCCACCCGCCCCTGTGTCGCCGGTAAAATCCGCCGGGACCTGAGGGGTCTCTGGCCGCGGCCCAGCGCGGTGCCGGGGTGTAAAAGCGCACACCCGAGGGGGACGACGGCGTAGAGCGAGTCCTGTTCCTCCCCGCACGCTGTCGGGGGGATTTCTTACCTGGATCGTGCCTCCTTTGCTCCCACAGCACCTCTCCAGGTCTTCAGCATCGTCCCCCCTCGCCTGGGAACCCTGCATCGCAACCAGCCATGATTTCTGTTGGAGCGATTATTTTCATAAAGATTACTAATTTTGCCCCCACTGCCCTCAAGTCAAAACAGGCAAAGGGCCTTTAGTTTTGCCCCGATGTGACACTGCCAGGGTCACCCTTGGACAAGATCATGATGCTGACAGAGGGAAAGCAACGTTCCAGTAATACATATCTTGCCTCCACTGTGTGTATCCGCAGGGACCTCGGTCTCCTCTGATGCCAGAAGTACAGTTATTACAATGGGTAAGTCAACCCTCTCAGGTTCTTTTTTCCAGCTCATATGACAGTTATATCTCATCCCTGTGCCTCTCTGCACATGCTCTTTTGCTGGAAGAGACCTAAATTTAGCAGCTCGGAGGAATGCACGCTGTGCTCTAGTGAGCATGTCTGTGCAGCTGCCTTATTACAGCTCCGCTGCAGCTCCGTGCCCCAAACCCAACCCCGGCGAGGCCAGCCAGCATCTACTCACTCCCTGCTGGGGGAATGTTGAACAGAGGGTAACAGGAGAACAGGGGGCAAAGCCACGAGCACTCACCTTTTCCACTGCAGAGTCGCTTTCCTTGCAAAATCTGGCACTTCACCCTGACCAGGATTCAGTGTGGGACTAGTACATAATATCAACAGTCGCTAAGGAGAAACTCTTCTCTTTCCTACATCTGTTAAATTTTCCATTCTCATCCCTTCCTCTCACGTCAGCAGTCTCCTGCTCTGGGCCCATACCCGCTCATTTTAATCCACCAGCAGAACAACTGCTGTGTTTCTCCATCTCGTGTTGCCTGTGATTTTTTTTAGCCTATGTATTTTCAAAAGCTTCATTCTTCTGTTTGCTTTCCAGCCTCTTCAACCTCGAGGACTGGATGGCTCCAACACTGCAGTCAATGGTATATGCAACAGTAATTATTTAAGACCACAAGTTATTAATCTTATTTGGAAGTCATTTATCCTTTAAATATTGCATCAATCCTGCCATTCATGATTTGCATAATTTAACCTTTTCTTTCCCCCCTGGGAAAGGCTCCAAGTAGAGAGGAATATTTGAAGATGCGAAGTGTTTGTGTAGATGTTTTTAGCCACCCACAATTAGTCATGGAATTAGTCATGTAAGTGTAGACCATTCAGAAGCTGGATCCTGACCCAACACATGGCAGAGTTCCCTATAATCTTGGCTGGTTATGGATGTTGGCTCTGTAGCCATCTGATTCAGACAATCACGATTATTTGGACCCGAAAGGAAAAGGAAATAAAGTACAAAAGTTTCTGACCATGCTGAGAGTTAGCTGATCTCCTCTGGAAGGTGGATGGGAGGTCAGGGGATTTAGGGCAGGGGTTGTCTGCACCCTGTTGTACCTTGTTCCAGGAGCTGCCCCCTTCAGGAAGGCGAGGGGTTGTTGCTGTAGGAGAAATTCCCCATATAAGGTTCAGGAGCCCTTTGCCTAGGGTCTGCTCGGCTTTCAGCACGTTGTTGCCATCTCTTAAAGTTTGGAAGGGCTATGGCTGGCCTTAAATATTGCCAGCCTGAAGCACTGTCTAGCACAGCTTTGCTGTCCCCGCGTCAGCAGAGGGACAGTAAGACAAGCCCACAGTTCCTGTCAGTGCCGTAAGTAACAAAGCGCACTGCCTTTCTTTTCGCTGATATCTCCTGTTTGTCCCATCAGTTATTTTAAACTCCCTCGTTAAAAAGCTTTCCAAATCCCCAAGCTTTACTCAGTTGCGTACCTGTTCTGTACTCCCTCCCCATCCTGCTGTTTTCCCATCTCTACAAAAGACATAATAAAAATTAAAGGTCACAGCAAGACAGGGCAGCATGCTTTAAGTAAATAAATAGAGCTCAAGCAGCCAGCTTGTTAAGCAGGAGGTATTTATTCTAGGTCGCAATGAGAACACAGCTGAACCTCTTGGAAAATGGCAGCATTTGTTTTTTTGCCCTAAGGACCTGGCCTTTTAAATTTGCACCTGAAAGGATAGAGGAGCCTGGTGCTGGAAGAAGAGGTTTTCAGTGTGTCATTTGGTTAACAGGTACCTGCCTTTAGCTTTGGAAAAGCAGCCTCACTTTATCCATGGAGGACCAAATCCTGGCACTAACGAAGTCGTTAGCCAGTCTCCCACAGATTTAAGTGGGGACCAGAATTTGGGCCTTTGGGGATTGTGCAGGCAGGTGTTTTGGGGAAGTTTATAAGGGAATGCTCATTTTTATACCTGAGCGCTAACAGCTTGCAATTGGCAACCCCTGAAAATGGGGTTATTTAGCTGTTGTGTAAGTGCTGTCGGAGCTATGTTTCGATGCTGGAGCTCAGTTAGACTGTCTCCATGGCAGCGGGTAGCCGAGGTTAGGGTGGAGGCTGAAAACCAGCACTTGCTTTTCTAACGCAGCAGTTTTCACGTGCTTGTAAGAGGGTAAAGAATTCTCATTCTGCCTATTAATATCAGATTAATCACAAAGTTAACTGCGGATTTTAGGACTTGCTGCATTAAAGCAAGAATGTCTCCTAAGCTCCAGTTCAGCACCGTGTAAGATGAAACCTCCATTTCCACAGGTCAGAGGTAGCCTTGGTGGTGTTTTGGGGAAGACCCTAAGACGAGACAGCCTGAAGATCCTATTCTATTATTTGAGCAAAGCCCTCTTAACACAATGATAAGAAGGAATGTGACAAACACTCTCCCAGAAATAGGTAAGCAGTGTTTATTTGAGGTGGGCAGACTGAAATGTTCCAATTCATGTAAGAAATAAAAGTGTTCTTAGCTCTTCATCGCTTGCCATAACCATAGAAACCCTGTTTTTACAGAGTCAGTATTACCAGGGGAATGTGCAGCACTCCACCTCTAGGCAATTCAGACAGATTTCACAAAGCCCTGAGCACAGCGCACCAGTACCGCTCCGCAAGTCAAGGGCTCTCTAGATAGACCTGGGTTGATTACATCAATATACGTGTCACATAGGGCCAAGAAGGAACGGGGGAATGGAACGGATTTGAGAAAATCCCTATAACCTAAAGTGCCTTTAGAACAAGACGCTGTAAGGGGAGACAGCAATGAGCAGCTGTATGAAGACGCCAGGAATCAAACTCCCTGTTTCAAGAGTGCTTCAATTGCAAGATTTTTAAGACTTGCTTGCACGTTCTGCAGGCAGACAAAGAAGAGATCCTGGATGCTATTACCATTTATAACTCTAACAGCGTTTTAGGTGCTACTGCACTCAGTGCTTTCCACGCTGCTATGCCGCAGCATATGTTGTGTTGACACTGTCTCAGAAATACCCACACACTCTGCCTTTCTCTTACAGAGGAACTTAAGGCTGCACTTGGCCATGAGCCCAGTCTACTGTTTTCTTTTAACTAAAGCTTTTTTTTTTCTCCCCAGCATGGAAGGCAACCAGTCCTGGGCCATTGGCTGTTAGACAGCTTCATCGCCTTCATCCAGAGGGGGACTGGAGCCAGCAAGCACCTCGATAGTGGGGTTGTGAAGATGGTTAGGCACTTGTGGGGTGACACTTTCACCTTCAAAAGAGCCTTTGCAGTCATGTAAGTTGTCACTTGCTCTTGATCTTAGCTGTGTTGTCTCACTTTTCCATGGTTCAAACTGAACTGGGGAAACAGGTCTGCTTCAGCATCCCCAGCAGAGCTTAAGGCACAGACGGTGGCAGAAGATGCAGAGGAGTCTTCACATGCTCTAGGGTTGCCTGGCCTCGATAAGCCATTCCCATCACTTGCTGGGAAGACATCCCCTCGTGTGGGTGCAGTGCCATCAGAATTACACTGCTTGTCATGGTAGAGCCTATTTACATTAAGGACAAGAGAGGGTTCAAGCCACCAATACTCTTCTTTGCCATTGCAAAGTCTCTCTCCTTGTAAAATCTGGGCTAGACCACTATAACTGCATTCACGTTACAGTTTGTGCAGATATAATAATTGTCTCAACCCCCCACTATTAAAACTAATTGATACCGTTTAATCCCCACGCTTTAGGGCATTTGTGAGCTCCATAGGGACACATTCAGTCAGGAAAACTCCTAATGCCCCTGTGGAAGCTCTGTATTAGTTGTGGTACAACCTAAACCTTCCTTCCCCAAAGCTGCAGGCTATGAAATGCTACACTATTGCTTCCAGCAGCCTTAAATGCATTATCAGACCTAAATTTCATTTAATGGGCTTAATGAATGTTTACTTCAATTAGCATACATATAGTTCTGAAGAGGAAATGAGTAGCTTTCATCTTTTTCTTAATTAATATCTGCCTTTATATAGCTTTATCTTAGCTGCTCTGTAATTTGGCTGTAACCCAGCTCTAGGGGGTGGAAACAGAGCTGTGACTGCCCAGCTGAGGGGGACTTCCAAGGCACACACGTGTTCATTCCTTCATGGAAATAGGATAGAAACTCCCTGGCTGATGCAGGGCTTGGAGTGCAGAAAACACATTAAGCATCCTAACACAACATATGTAGTGCTAAAAAGCAACAAGAGCAGGGCTGCTCCCCAAGAAAAAACAAGCTAGGAGTAAAGGATGCTGACAGCACCTCAGGTGAGCCTGCGAGTGGGACTGTCCTGCCATGTGTAAAGATGGTAGGAACCAGCTGCATCAGCCACCCAGCGATGATGAGGCAAAGTGAGGAAGCAAGTCCCCAGCCTCCCCAGGAAACTAAGTTAGAAGCACTAAGAAACTGCACAACACAAGTCCAGAGCTTACCCAGCAAAGTCAGAAGACAGAACCACAGCCCAAACTACTCCACAACTGCCTCAGAGAGGGACAGTCTCCTGGGCCTGCGCTTAAATGGAGGTGCTGGCCGATGAGCAAAGGGTGCTGGGGAGAGGCCCAGGTGGGACTCTTTGGGGTAATGAAAGCCTGGGGGTGCACTCAGGCACTTGAAAACCAGCTGATAAATCCCTTCTCAGAGAAATCTGATCTGCAAATTCCTCCTCATGCAATGATACCTGCTTTCAACAACAGTATATATTTATAGTGCAAAGTCATGCTCCTTCAGAAACAGAGCTCTTTTGGACTTGGTGGTCAAGCCTGTGAGGGATGCAGCATCAATCTGGGCTATGTGTAGTATTGCATCAAACATGCATCAGCCTACAGACCTCAATCAACTCAATTATTTCCTTCTGTGCCTGCTATAAATACATATATAGAGGCCATGAGTACCATTACTGCTGATGGAAGATGTTGGTTTCTAGCTGCAGGAAGTGTAGCTATTGTTAGAGTTGGTGACGATATCTTACAAGGGCAAACAGGAGCATAGAAAAGGTAAAAGCTTGTGGGGTTTAAGCAGGTAAAGTACAGATACGAGTTCTGGAGTGGTTTTGCCCCACTATAGAGCTTTAAAGCTAGTCAAATTCTTAGCTACATGACGGTATGCGTTTCTTGGGGGTGGTAAGGAAAAGCGATGGCTCTTCTGGTCATACGGGTAGTGTCTGTGGGCTACTGCTATGCCCTTAAAAGAGATTATTGAGCTCCAGAATATCCTGAGCAGAGATGGATGGAGTAGTGGTTCTACTAGTCTTTAGCTGGTGAGAAGTTTTGTTAGAAATTTTTGCAGCAAAGGTGTGTGGTTAAGGGGACGTCCTTATCAAGATAAAAAGAATTGGATGAGAAGAGTTAATTATTATGAACTGAACACAGGAACGTATGTTACTTTGCCGCCCGCCGGTAGGTATAGCCAAACCCAGCAATCTGTGCAGCCTTTCTACCTTGGTGCCGCTTCTCGAAATGTCCAGAAGAGGCCAGTGTACCCTTGCTTTTAGGTTGCCTGCATGAAACCTTTCCAAATGTATGTTTTTATTTAGAAAATGCTGAGCTGTCTGGAAAGTTTGATCAGGAGGGATGCAGCTGTATTAATGTGCTTCTTCCTGGGGATTTGAATGCATTTTCTTAGCGGTACAGGGGAACCAGGGATCAGGGAGACAATATGCAGGCAAACAGCTCTGCTGACCGCATCATCAGGACTCGAATATTTTAAAGCCAGCATCATGGGATTTTAACAGCTAAAATTTGGTGTTTAGGGTTGACCGTGTTAGTCAGACTGAGGTTTCTCTCTGCAGTGGGACAAATCTGTGAGCGCCCTGGAGCTGCTCCAGCTAACACAAGAGAAGTACCAGACCATGTCTCTGCTGGCAATCACTGATGAGCTTTTTCACTTAAAGCTTTCAGGCTCAGTTCTCTCTGATCCCTCTGAAGGTCACCGGGATTGCAGCAGTGCAGCCGATCCTCGTGCCTTCTGGAATAAAGAATATCATCGGCATCTGCAACTGAGGGGTGGCTTTTGCTGTGCTTTTGCTCCCCAAAACGGTCCCCAACAGAGTTTGTGTGCCTGTGGCCAGAACATCAGGGCCCCATATTGTATGTGGGTCTGACACTGCATTATACTTCAGCACTCCCAGGTACAGTTAAAAAAAGTGCTTCCCGGTGCCTAGTTAGGATGTTCAGCAGTGCATCTGCAAGCTCTCTGCATGGCATTAGGCTTGTCGTCTTTAGTTGGAAATGAGTCATTTCCCTGTGCTGTACAGAGATGCCCAATTTCCTTGGAAATTGTTCAGTTCTGCAGAGTCCCCAGAAATCACTGATATTAGGCTCTTTTTGCACTGGGTATTTTACCTCAGTCTTAATAGATGCCTGGGGATGCTTCACAGGTGGGAGTATTTAGAAAAAATAAAAAAGGGATAGAAGAAACTGAGGCTTCATATTTAATCTGAAGGGCAAGTGAATCTTCTGTACTGACCACTGGCAACTCGTATGGAGGCTGAGGAAGGTTTACTGAAGACTAAAGCCTGTTAAATGAAAAAGGACCGCTTTCACTCTTGTGTTAGTTGACTGGCTGAAATGATTGCAGTTCTAGCTGTGTGGATTTCGGGCGTCTTGTGCGTGACACTTGGAAATGAGGTGCAGGTAGGAGCCTCCCCGCAGCCTCCTACAAACTGCAGATGAATGATGGTGGTCAAGGGGGACTTGAGGTCTGCAGCGGGGACTTGTAGACCCTTACCTACAAGAACTGCTGGGAATGAGGATGGTGAAGAGGTGTAGCACTAACCATAATGGAGAGGCACAGTGGCTCAGCAGAACAACTGTACAGTGACACACTTTTACATCTGTGCGTCCAACATGCTAAATATCACCAGCAATATTACTTGCCTATTTGGAGAGCCATATGCATCTTAAAAGTCTTCAAACACTGGGCGGAAAAAACAACTAGGTCTGTTTACAACATGCTGTTCTAGTCTCGATGGCATTCCTGAGGCCCGTATCCAAAAGGGATGCAGGAAAAATAAAAAGGGCTACGCAAAGGGTAAACATTTTTGCCATCCCACAGTAACCAGGGCCTGCCTAGCCTGTCCACTTGGGACAGGAGCTTGTCAGCAGGATGGCTGTAGCTATTGCCATAATACAGGAAATAATAGTCATCGGGGAAAATGTGAGGGTGCTCTGGTTTCCTCTTCTGCTCCAGTCAGAGGGGAGGAAGGAGAGCGGTGCTGTCATGGAGGCATCCCTTGGTTAGCCGCATGATTCTAGGGGCTCTGTATTCTGCGTCACAGGCGGGGAAAACCAATTTTTGCCATTTTATTACTTCCCTCTGCTGTTCGAAATCCTCGCTCTGGCCTTCCCTGTTAATGCATGTGGAAAGAAGAGGAGCCAGCTACTCTGGATGCCGTAGGCTGGAAAAATCTCCGGATTTCTGAGGAAAAAATCCAGAAAAGAACCCAAAGTGCATTTAAGGGAAATTTCACAACATTCAAGCTAAACTAAATTTCTCTGAAGCCTGACTCAAGGGCTTTGGGCTCTTTGGATGAGTCACATCGCTGCTTATGAGCATCTTGCTGCAAGCTGAGGTACTGGATGGGGAGGAGAAAGATGCGATTTAATAGTAAATCTAAGGTGCAGGCTCTACAAAGCCAACTGCTGGGTTTAGAGCATTCAAGGAGTTTAGAAGGCTGGGGATATCTAGTTTGGTTTTAGTTTTATTGAAGGCTCTTGAACCGGGCACTAGCAGGGCCTGGTTAGAGACAGGCCTTGTACTTCAGGTCAAGGCCAAGATGCCACAGTAGGGGGCTTTTATTATTATGGCACGAAACCCTCAAATTTAAGTGCCCCATTTCGAAACCCGGTGTGAACAGCTG